ATCCAGAAGCCGAACCACAGGCTCTGCAGCCATGGGCCCAGAAGGGGCAGGACTCGGCCATGACTGACCGCCTCCCTCAATTCTGTCCCTCCCCCTCTGACTCAGGACAAGCAGAGAAAGCCAGATACGCCCCTGAGGTCAGTCACACAGGACGCCCAGCTTGTGTGAGCCCACAGGCTCCCCAGGCCTCAGCCTCCACCAGGGCACAGCCGAGCCTTCCTTTCTTCCACTCTAAGCCGTCCCCTCCCCTGCTCCTCTGAGTCTCTGCCAAACCCGAGTGATGGCGCTGGAACCCTGCTCCCGCCGCTCTGAATAAACGGCCTCTGCTGGTTCTCATGTGGTGGCTTGTGTACTCCCACAGGTGTCCCCCCCTATTTGTAAGGTGTGAGCACCCACAGACCCAGGTCCAGCAGAGAGACAGGGTCAGATACCAGGAGGCATCTCAAGATAGGTCAAACCTTGGGCAGGACAGCGGCGGGTTGAGCCCAAGGAGCTGCAGGAGGAGAAACGGCAACAGGACCACCTTCCTTTCCCTCCTGAGCATTATTTTCTGAGGCTTGGTTTTCTACATGGAGGAGTTTTCCGTTATGTGGTCAGATCTGTCTCTCCTTCATTCATCCAATTATGAATGAATTAATGCAGTCTTTCTACCCCACCACCCAGGGCTCAACTGCACCTGACCTCTCACCCTTCTAGAAGTTTCAGAGCAGGCTGTGCCCAGGGACGTAGGGGAAAGGTACCTCCCCATACACCTGCTCTCAGCCACTCCCCCTGGGGCTCAGTGCTGGGCCCACATGCAGAAGAGGCTGGGCCTGCTCCTGCAGAGTCAGCACCCAAGGATGGGAGAGGCCCGTGTCCACTGAGGTGCAGCCCTGGGGAGTGGTGGGGGTTGGATCTTTCTAAAAGGCCAGTCCTGTCCAGACAGCTCCTGGCACAGGCCCCACCCTGCCCCCAGAAACACAGGGACGCTTCCCTGCCCAGGTGGTTGAATCTATTCTAAATCCTAGACCAAATCCTGCCAGAACCAAGTCCTTTACTGATGTCCTTGATCTCACCCCCACCCCAGCCTGAGGCCCTGAGAGCCATCTCCTCCCCACCACTGGACGCCTTTGTGCCTCTTCTGTCCACCACGTCAGCCCTTCACTGTGTCCCGGGTCACACGCTCTTGATGTCCACAGCAGCCCACACGACAGGCCGGTACAAGTGGGGCGCTGGGCCAGGCCTTGCAGATGAAGGGCGCAAGGCGGGCAGGGCGTGACCCTGGACTCCGGGACGCGCCGGCAGCCCCCTGCCCCTCCCCCAGCTCCTCCGGTCCGGGCTGGCCATGGGCTTCCCTCCCTCGCGCTCTCCGCACTTCTCGGGTCCAGCTCCCACTCCTCCCACTCGTCTTCGCGCCCTAAATGTCTCGGCCATCTCAGAGCACACCGCTGTGCATCGCACGCACCGGGCACTGGGTCAGGCTGCGGGGACACGGAGACCAGGGAAGGACAGTGGGGGCTGGGGGGACAGGACCACCCCTAGTCTGTGTCCTGCCGGCAAGGACCAAGTTCCCTAGACATCCTCCGCAAGGCCCAGGCCCAGGCCCAGGCCCACGCCGGGCGGGGCCCGCCCCCGCCGCGCCCACCGCGGGCCCACACCCTCACCTCCAACTCCATCCCCCGGGGCTCCCGCAGGGCCGCGCCCACCCCGCGCCCTCCTGCCTCGCCGCCCCGGGGAGGACGACACCAAACCCCGGATGGGGGGACCCCGCAGCACGAGAGCCTTGGTCCCGAGACGGTGCCCGCGGAGGCGGAGGACACCCAGGCTTCGGCCATGCGCCCGCCCCGCGCCCATCCTGATGGGGACGCCGACCTCGCGCCCACCCAGACCCAGACGAGACACCCCCTCCGCGCCCCGATCGCCGTGGACCCGCCGGCGCGTCAAGTGACGCCGCGCCCGCTCGGGGTGGGAGGGGCCCCGTCCGCACTTATTTTCGCCCCTCCCAGTCCGCAGTGGCTGTCCGCACTCGGTGTCCCAACTCACTCTCTGCTCCAGCACCCGCCGCCCACCGCCAGGATGATGTGCGGCGGGCTCTCGGACCCTGAGCCCGCCACGGCCGAGACCCAGGCCATCGCCGACCAGGTAGGCACTGCCCGCGGGCGAGGCTGCCGCGTGGGGATGGGGGTCGGGGCCCTTCCCGGGTCCTGGGGACCGGCAGGCCCAGGTCGCTGAGATCGCTGCTGGAAGGCAGGCGGTGCGCTGGGTTCATGGACCGCCCGGGGGCTGGGTCCAGGGAGAATGCCCTCCAGCCCTGGGGATGCGCGTGGAGGGGCTCAGAGGTGAAGGACCCTGATGTAAATACCCTTAGGTAGTTCTAGAAAATCCTGTATAGAGAGAGAGCAGAGGATGGAGCAGGTGGGGTAGAAGGGAGACGGTGAGTAACTCTGGGGAGAGTGTGTCCAGGTGTCCTGACTTGAGCTGTGATTCTAGCACTGTCTGTCCAGGTGTGAAATCATCTCCTAATTAAGTTTTCAAAGCATAAAGCAACGACACAGACCAGGCTGGGTGGCAGAGGCAAAGCCTGGTCAGACACTAGGCAGCTGCTGGACTCCCTGCACCTCCGTTTCCTCATCTGTAAACTGGGCATCAGGAAGGCACCCCCACTGAAGGTTCTGGTGAGAGTGGGTGAGGGGGCCTGCCCCACCTGTCCTCATGTGTCAGTGACGTGGAGTCTTTACAAGGAAAACAAGGTGCAGGCCACGGAAGGCTCGAGTCCTGAGTCCAGAAAGGAAAAGTGAAACAAACTTCTCCTGTGACTTTCCTCCCCTACTGCTCCCTACATGCCATGGCAGGCAGTCAGCCCGGGGTTCTGGCTCTGGGTGTGACCACCTGACGGCAGGAAAGGGGGATGAGTCAGCCACATGAGACCTTTGAAAATGAGGAATTTGTGGGGACTCCAAGGGTGAGCCTCCCTGGGCGCTGGTTCCTGCTCTCCCCCGGCAGCCGCTCCAGGGCCCGGCCCTTCCTCATGGTTCCCGGTTTTCCAGGCCCAGACATTCCTCACTGTCCCCTGGACTTTGAGGTGTGTGAGCTCATTCAGGAGAAGAGTGGCCGTCTCAGAGGGCTCCCTGACTTG